TTTTAAAAAGAATGTATGTATATGCTTAGAATATCATATACACAGGTTAGCAATAACAAATATTTTTGTAACAGCAAATCCTTTAATAGGGATAGAAGTAGATAATATACATATTTAAGTTGACTGAGCTGGGGCTTAGGGGTTAGGCTGAGTCTAGTACTTTAGCATCGTGTTTTGTTTTGTTTTTTAACAATAAACCTGTTGTAGGTCATATTGGGAACTTGGGACTGTTATTCTGGTTAGCTCAGTGTCCCCTGTGGTGGCCCTTTCTTTCTCTTAAGACCTTACTCATTTCAAATATTTATTGAGCACCTACAGTATGCTGGACCCTATTAAAGGTACTTATATCTCAAGCTGGACAATAAATACCCTTATTCCAAAAACACTTTGGAAAATGCTTATAAGAAAGTAATAAACTTAAAGCCATTTCATGTTCAGTAACAGTTTTCTAAAACATTCTGTTCTTAGGACATACAGAATTTGGAGAATTTAAGATTTTTTAAGTAATTGTACCTCTTAGCTAATTATTATCAGGAAGGATATTTACTGTTGACAGAGCCAAGATTATCATTCTGACAGAACGGATAATGCAGGTGACCAGTGAAGTCCATGATCTGTTTTACAGCTAACTACATCATCTTAGTAGAGCCTTTGTGGTATAATACTATTTTAGAATTATATTTTACAGGAGTTATACTCAGGTTATGTAGGAAGGAGTTGATTGCTATCTACCCTTCATATCTCCAGGTCAAAGACACGTTTTTCTTACTCACTAGCCCTGATCTCAGAACTTCAAGTATGTCTATGGGTTACCTGGTTTTGTTTTTCTTTTCTTGCCAGCAGGTTATCCTCCCATAGACTCTCTACATGAGGAAGTAGAATAAATAGCCCTGTATTCAGGCAAAATACTCTAGTTCCCTTAATATTTCATAACAAAAGTCTCTTAAATTTTGTCCTTTTGAATCATCATAAATTATATTTCAGATACATGCTAGAGAATTCAGTCTCAAAATGATTTCTGTTTTCTTTCAAAAAATGTCATTGAGGTGATTAATAATGGAAGTAGTAAATTCAGTCTCTCACTGACCACTTACTTTTTAAGTATCTCATTTGTCCATTAGTAGTGTTTCCCCAGGTATGGGGAATGCCACTGATGTTCAAGCTGATTTGTAGTAGAACACAAAAGGGAGGGAGAAGACAAAAATTGTTTTTATATGACCAGTTTATTTGAGGAAAAAAAAGCATGTCTGGATGACTAGTGATTCATACCAGGTTAAGCTTAAAAAGTTGATTTAAAGGCAATTTTTTTTTAAGATTTTATTTATTCATGAGAGACAGAGAGAGAGAGAGGCAGAGACACAGGCAGAGGGAGAAGCAGGCTTCATGCAGGGAGCCCAATGCGGGACTTGATCCTGGGACTACAGGACGATGCCCTGAGCTGAAGGCAGGCGCTAAACTGCTGAGCCACCCAGGGATCCCCAAGATTTAAAGGCAATGTAAAGAAAATAAATAATATGTTGTGCAGGTGTTACAAGAGATTGTTAAATTAGCAAGGATTGTAGGCAAATGGCAAAAAATTTAAAAACACCAACATGCTAATTTAAAGCACATAAGTGAAAAAAAAAAATTAAAAAAAGCACATAAGTGAGTCCCCTTGGCACTTAGATCTCAATCCTTATCTTATTATACCTGTTCCCAGTACCTGACACAGTGGATTGCTTCCTCTTCCTGAATGTCCTTTGTTCACTTACCTTCCAGGACTCAGGGTTTTCTTTCTACTTCAGTGGTCACTGCTTTATAATCTACTTTGTTGATTTGTCCTTTTCTTCTTAACCTTTTGATATTGTTGAGACTGGTGCTTGGTCTCTTCTCTGTAGCTATGTTCACTCCCTTGTCGGGGCTTGAGGACTGACTTTTTCTCTTCAGTCTGGACTTAGCTAAGGAAATCCAGAATTGTATAACCACCTTCCTACTCACTTTCTTCACTTGGGTGCCGGTAGGCATCTCAAATGTAACATGCCTAAAACCCAACTCTTGATCTTCCCAGCAAACCTGTTCTTACTTCCTTTTCATTTGCTCTGACTGAAAATGTTGGGAGTCTCCTTAATTATTCTCTTTCAAGCTGGAGTCTAGTGTCAGCAAATTACGTTGGCTTTGTATTCTTTGTATATCTAGAATCCAGCCACCTCTCATCATTTCACTGTTACCACATAGGTCCAAACTATTATCATCTCTTACCTGGGTTACTGTAGTCATCTTCTGATCTGTCTCCCTGTTTTTATTTTACCCCTGCCTTCAATACCTATAGTCTTCTCTTAACCGTGCAGGCAGTATGATCTTTATATTTAAAATTGAAGTCAATTTATAAGTTAAATCATGTCATTCAGTAAAAACCAAACTTGCTAAAATCACCTCTGAGGCCCTGTGTGATCTGATCTAGCCGTAACTAACTTTCTGACCTCATCTCCCACTTCTATGCCCTCTAGTCACCGCCCCCCCCCATGGCCTTGCCATTCACTCTGCCTAAAATGTTCTTGCCTGAGTCTACCCGCCTTGCTTACTAACTCCTCCTGTTTGTTCAGATGTCACTCACTGCTCAGTAAGGCTTTCCCTGCTTCCCCTGTTCAGACTTACAAGATCCTATCACTCTCACCACTGCCATTTTTCATCCTACTTCCCTGCTCTGTGTGTGTGTGTGTGTGTGTGTGTGTGTGTGCGCGCGCGTGTGCGCGCATGTGCTACCAGTAGAATGCAAGCTCTGTAACAGGATTCTGAGTTACTTTGTTCACTGCTGGATACCTAGGACCAGAGTAGTGCCTAGCATATGACAGGTGCTCAGTAAATATTTATTGAATGAATGAATAAAGCTTTAAGTATCAAATTTACTTCTGAACCAATCAATTCTATACATTAGAATGGTCATTCTAATACTGCAACCATAGACTGTGACTGAATTTTGCCAAACCTAAGTGAACAAGTATAACCTAAGTGTTCTGAACCTAAGTGTAAGATGACAAACTAAATTTTAAAATGTGTCAGTTCTGATGTGGGCAGGCTTATTTATTTATTCACATTTTATAGTATAGTAAATTGTTTAAAAATCATTGTAATGATAAGTTACTGAAAATAATTAAAATCATATTTTCAGAAAGACTTGACTTTATTAACAGTTAATATGCCATGAACATACTCATTTACTGATTGAAATAAATCCTTTACCTTTGTTAGCTTCACTTATACCTAGTTTGTACTTGAAAGAAGTAAAACTTGTTTTTATGTTTTTAGGTAATTACACTGACCTTTTTTGAATTCAGTCATCTTTGTAATGGATGTTGTCATTCCTTAAGAAACAATAAGATTGGGATCCCTGGGTGGCGCAGCGGTTTGGCGCCTGCCTTTGGCCCAGGGCGTGATCCTGGAGACCCGGGATCGAGTCCCACGTTGGGCTCCCGGTGCACGGAGCCTGCTTCTCCCTCTGCCTGTGTCTCTGCCTCTCTCTCTCTCTCTGTGTGACTATCACAAATAAATAAAAATTAAAAAAAAAAAGAAACAATAAGATTTTATGAAGTTACATTTTCTCTAAGATTTTAAAAAAACTGTGCAACTTGACATTTTTATATTCATTTTTTGCTAAACACATTATTGTACATTAGGTCTAAAGAGTATCCTTTGTTGTGATTCAGGGTTTTTACAGCAGAGATATGTTTCTGTAAGTTCTATAAATTTGGGGTTTGTTTGGGGTGTTTTTAGGTTTATGTGCTTATTTGAGAGAGAGCAAGAGCATGTGCACATGCTCTGGGGGGAGGGCAGAGGAAAAAGGAGAGAGAATCCTTAAGCAGACTCTACACTGAGCACAAAGCCCAACACGGGGCTTGGTTCCAGGACCCTGAGATCATGACCTGACCTGAAATCAAGAGTTGGACACTTAACCAACTGACCCACCCAGGCATACCATGTAAATCCTAGAATTTGGATCTCTCTTTTCCTTGTGACTTATTCTATTCATTCCAAACTAAAAATCACAAATAAATAGAATTTGTATCTGTTCTTTGAGCTCAGTATCCTAAAGAAGATTTTGGTAGGATTTCCTTTAAAGATTCTGAGTGAGGGGATCCTTGGGTGGCTCAGTGGTTTAGCACCTGCCTTCGGCCCAAGGCATAATCCTGGAGTCCCGGGATTGAGTCCCGCATCAGGCTCTCTGCATGGAGCCTGCTTCTCCCTCTACCTGTGTCTCTGCCTCTGTCTCTCTCTCTCTCTCATGAATAAATATTGTTTTTTTTAAAAAAAAGATTCTAAGTGAGTTCAAATTTAGGAAGTTCAGAATTTTAAGGAAGGAAGAAAAACTGAGAACCTACTGCAAGCCAAACACCATCTTTGGAATTACTCTCTTTTAATTTAAAGGAGAATAACTTAATTACTCTCTTTTAATTAATAAACTGTTAATAACAGTTATGTGGGCTCATTTTGAGGCTTTAGAGATTAAGTACATAGTAAGGTCACGCAAGTGATAAAGCTGGGATTGAATTCAGATCGGACTTTTGCTGTGCACCCTACTTTATCACAGTGACTGTTTAACTGGTTTTGCAAATTAAATTTTTCACTGGCAAGATAGTGAAAAATCTATTGTCTTCTTAAATGTAATGGTCATGGGCAAGTAAGGAAATTCATTTTTTAAATCAGTTAAGGGAGCTGTGGTTCTAAGCCCTATTAACTACAAACCTCTGAACATTACTTGTTCACTTGTCAGTGACAAATTACTCTTTTAAAATCTTCTCATTGGCCTCTTTCTCTAAAACTTAAAGGAACAGTTCTAAAATGAAGTCATGAAAAAAATAAATGAAGTTATGTCTACAAATCATTAATGCTTGAGACGGAATGACGGATTGAGTTAACAATTTAGAACTTTTTGAGTTATCCTAAAAATTCTGCATGCCCAATTCTAATTGCTTAGGTATAATTTGATAACACAATGTGTCATTATCATGTGTTTGTCTCTGCAGTGACCCTGCCATGAAGCAGTTCCTGCTGTACTTGGATGAATCAAATGCCTTAGGGAAGAAGTTCATCATTCAAGACATTGATGACACTCATGTCTTTGTTATAGCAGAGTTGGTTAATGTCCTCCAAGAGCGAGTAGGTGAATTAATGGACCAAAATGCTTTTTCTCTTACCCAGAAGTGAAAGTACTCAATATTGACCACTTAGGAATTACAAGTAGCAAATGTAAGAGACTGTCACTATTCAGTGTCCTACATGACAGATTAGACTTAGCTGCTTAGTCGCATATTATGGGAAAAACTGTGATGTCATTTGTTCAGAAAAAAGTCCCTGAAATGATTTTCTTGTTTTTTCGGTACATGTACCCTAGAATTTAAAAAAAGAAAGAAAAAACTTTAATGATTGTCTGTAATTTGACTTTTATTATCCTACATTAAAATATAAATATGAATGGTTTTCCTACCTTTTTAATACCAATTTAATACATTAAGAATATAATGGAATATGCATTTATCAGTTTAATCTAGGTGTTTGCTTGTTCCTGCTAATAATTGTAGAATTTTATAATCTGGGTGGTGTTCTGTTCTAATTAGAAACTTCACATCAGTTATTTAGGTAAGTATACCAAGGTGGGACCTTGGTATTATTTATGTCTTTGCAAATAATATCTGGATACTGGCCAGCTTTATTGATGAAGAAGGTGGGAAAGAGAACCATGGAATATTGATGTAAACTACACTTTGCATTTCCCTAAAAATACAGTTTTAAAAGTACAGAGGGCCTGGGCTGCCTGGGCAGCTCATTTAAGCATCCGACTCTTATCTCAGGATCATGAGTTCAAGCCCCTTATTGGGCTCCGCACTGGGCATGGAGCCTACTTAAAAAAAAAAAAAAAAGTGTGGAAGAAATAACCAAATGGGAAAGGGACATGGTGCCTTGCAAGCTTTAGCTTTTCCTTGTTCAAACTTTTTTAGTCACATTTTCCTTTCCCATCAGGGCAAGTGTTTTTTTGTTTTTTTTTTTTTAAAAAAAATCAGTTTTAAAGAAAGGGAAGGAGGAGTAGATAGAAATAAATTGAGTCTTATGGGAAGTCGCATGATTAGGATAAGATCTATTGTGTATGGTTTTATGATTGATTGGAGGCAGAAATAATAACTCCAATAGGAGCTTTGCTTCCCTTCCTGAAGGTAGTGTTAACTAGGATAGGTTCCCAGGGATGAGATTTTCTTCTAAGAAAGAAGAGGACTTTTGTGATGCTATATGGAATTCTATCAAACCCAGTTTTTTCCCCTCCTATGGTGTGCTTACTCAAAGCCCCTGTGTACCATTTTCACTCACTCAAGCTGGACATTTCCACTGCTTGGTACAGTAGGTCCTCCCTTATCTGCGATTTTGCTCTCCACAGTCAGCCAAGGTCTAGAAGCAGATGATTCTCCTCACTATTGTCAGAAGGTCAATAGTAACCTGATACTATCACAATGCCTACATCATTCATATTGCTTCATCTCATCATGTGGGCATTTTATCATCTCATGAGGATCCTATAAGAGGAAAGAGGGTGGGCAGCCCCGGTGGCTCAGGGTTTAGTGCCACCTTCAGCCCAGGGCATGATCCTGGAGACCTGGGATCGAGTCCCATGTCAGGCTCCCTGCATGGAGTCTGCTTCTCCCTCTCCCTGTGCTGTGTCTCTGCCTCTCTGTGTCTCTCTTGAATAAATAAATAAAATCTTTAAAAAAAAAAAAAACAGAAAGAGGGTAATGACAGTACAATAAAATAATTTGAGAGACCATATTCACATAACCTTTATTACAGTTTATTCTGTTATTAATACTAATAATTCTTAATCTCTTGCTGTGTCTAATTTATAAATTAAACTTTGTCATAGGCATGTGCATATAGGAAAAAACACAATGTATACAGGGCTCAATACTTCCTGTGGTTTTAAGCATCCACCAGGGATCTTGGAATATAATATAATTCCCCATCTATCATGATTCCCACCAATATAAATCAATTCACAGAATTTTGATTCTCATTTAACAATGCAAACAATTTTGTGATATTATTGGTAAATTTGGTACTAAAATTTGTTGAGTAGAAAATGCATTTCTTTAGAATTTCCAACTGTATTAAAATGTTATTGCATCTCGTATTTCAGGCATATCTAAATCAATTTCAAATAAATCTCCAGTATCTATCATCTTATACCTTTATTATTAACATGAAACCTTGGGCAGCCCGGGTAGCTAAGCGGTTTAGTACCGCCTTCAGCCCAGGGTGTGATCCTGGAGATCTAGGATCAAGTCCCGAGTTGGGTTCCCTGCGTGGAGCCTGCTTCTCCCTTTGCCTGTGTCTCTGCTTCTCTCTCTCTCTCTCTCTCTCTCTCTCTCTCTGTCTCTCATGAATAAATAAAATCTTTTAAAAAAATAACATGAAACCTTAAATTTTTCCTAGAATCCTTGTTTAAAAGGTATGGAGAAAAAAATATTTTACAGTGAATGCGAAGAGTCTTATGTGAAGGAAAATTTTTCATCAACTCTCATTTCTCTCATTTTTTATTTATTTTTTTCCAAAGATTTTATTTATGAGAGAGAGTGAGCATGTATGCAGAAGTGGGGGGAGAGGCAAAGGAAGAAGGAGAGAAAAACCGATTCCTTGCTGAGCAGGGAGCCTGAGATGATGACCTGAGCTGAAACCTAAACTGACTGAACCACCCAGGTGGCCCTCTCACCTCTCATTTTTTATGAAGTCATACTGAAGCAAATGTAAAATATCTCTCTGGACACCGCATTAAGAAAGATAGGACATGACCAAGTGACATTTTATCTAGACTCTCCTTGGAATCTGATTGGCATTATTTGATTTGGCGCACTAAGATGTTGAGAACAAGAACTGCAGGCTGCTTGGTAGTGGAGAAATTGACTGCTGTCTTTTAAAAATAAGGTCCTGAATATTGTGTAAGGTAGTATTAATCAAATTGTTTGAACTCCAAAAAAATCGTTTTAATTAATGGAAGTTTGGTGACCAATCCTTGAACTAAAATCGTAATACTCAGTTATAACAACTTCCAACTTTTTTTTTTAATTTATTCATGAAATGCACAGAGAGGGGCACAGACAGAGGGAGAAGCAGGCTCCCCAAAGGGAGCCTGATGTGGGACTCAATCCCAGAACCCCAGGATCACAGCCTGACCAAAGGCAGACATTCAACCACTGAATCACCCAGGCGCCCCCAACTTCCAACTTCTTGATTAAGGTGGTTTTTTTGTTTTCGTTTTTCTTAAATACCTGTTTCAGGTGAAAAATTCTTAATTCCTTGAACCTTGATTTTCTTATGAAATTTAATGCGATTATTTTAAAATTCCAGGCAGGCATCCTAAGTATGCATCACAGTTAATGTAAAAATGTTTATTGAGGAGTCAGTTTTGGTGGACAGTAGCTGAACGCTTCTGATAATAGGCAACAAAGGCTACTACTCCCCTTTATTGCTGATAGACACCATAGGTGGGTAATCAAAATTATTAATGATTATATTGTTGAACATTAGCTGTAACAAGTGGCTTGACATAACATTATTTTCTGAAAAGTGGTAGTGTATTTACTCTAGTTTGTAGTTATACAGTAGACCTCCTTTCTAAAGAAACTAAAAATTCTGACACGATTTAAGTAGAATACTGAGATCATTCTCTTAACATTTTCCTATCTTAACAGATAGGAAGAGGATATATTTTAAAGATGAAAAAATGATGCCGTTTGCAAATGTAGTCAATAAACATTCTCACATGTATGTAGCTCTTCTTCATTTGCAGAGAAGATAGCACTGCAAGATCTATTGGTAAGGTTTCTAAGCTTTTGTAAGGATACAGTTCTCACTCTAGGAAAGGATTAAGAGACCACCTGCATCCAGATGTCTGCTCCCTGCTTGCTAGCTCTGGGATCTTGGACAGGTCATTAAATTTCTCTCTAAAAACAGAAATACCTGTCCTCAAAGATGGTTTGGATGATTGTAAGTTAACGTGTAAAGCAGATGGTTCTGAAGTTTAGTTACTTTGAATCTAGAGAAGCACAGTGAGGCGGTGATGGGGGTACATTTCAGCACCTGCCCACCCCACACGCATTTTTTTTTTTTTTTTTTACATTTCTGTGTAATCAATGCAGTTGAGAAGGAGCACATGGTGGAGGTGGTAATTCTTAGAAAATGAGCATTGAGTAGACAACATACTGAGGGCCCACTACCTTTACTGACCTTGTAGCTGTCTCTTGAGCAGCTTAAACCTTGTTGGGAAATATCCAAATAGTTGATTTTTCCAAGACTACGCAGGGCCCAAGGGTGCAAGAGTCCCTGGTTCTGGGGGTTCCAAACTAGAACCCAACTGGCTGTTGACAAAATCCAAAGGCAGAGAGACAGTGGTGAAACAAGAAAGGAATTAATTTCAGTGAGGCCAACACTGGGAAAGACGGCAGACTGCCATCTCAAGGAGTGTCTCTAAAGTGTTGAAAATACTTCTGGGTTCATAGAAGGAGAATGTGGGACAAAGGTCAGTGGGTTTGTGCAGGTGAGTGGCACAGGTCAGGTTGATCATTGCCTTGGGGTCAGGTGTGTGGGGTCTTGCTAGCCTTCTTGCAGTCCCTGTTCTTCAGGGGGGCAGTTTCATTTCCCACCACAGGATGCTCTGCCGGCCAGGTCTTTCACCCAAGCTAAGAGATAAGCAGGAAATAAGAATTTAATTAGAAAGTATAGACTGGCCTATAGGAGCCGCCGGGTTGAGAGGAGTGTGGCCCTCTCCTCTCCCTGCGATGGCATGTACTCATCTGTTAATATCTGTGTACTCTGAAAAGGGGGAATCATCTGGCAAAAATGTTACTTTGCCTGCTGTGTTTAAGGCTCCCATTCAACCCAATATCATGAACTCTGTTCACACCAACTTGTGCCAAAAACAACAGACAGCCATATGCTGTCAGTGAATTAGCAGATCATCAAACCAGTGCTGAGTCTTGGGGTACTGGCAGAGCTGTGGCTCGAATTCCCAGAGTTTGAGACGGTGGGACTCACCGTTCTTGCCAGGGTGCTTTTGGAAATATGTGTCGTGGAGGCTGTATGTTTGCACCAACCAAAACCTGGCACCATTGGCACTGCAGAGTAAACACAACACAAAAGCGATATGCCATCTGCTCTGGCCTGGCTGCCTCAGCCTTACCAGCACTGGTCATGTCTAAAGGTCATCATATTAAGGAAGTTCCTGAACTTCTATTTGGTGGTTGAAGATAAAGTTGAAGGCTACAAGAAGACCAAGGAGGCTGTTTTGCTTCTTAACTTAAAGCCTGGAATGATATCAAAAAGATCTCTATGCCTCTCAGTGAATGAGAGCTGGCAAGGGCAAAATGAGAAACCATCGTCATATCCAGCCCAGGGGACCCTGCATCATCTACAGTAAAGACAATGGTATCATCA